CCAGAGATTAATTTTTGTATGTATTTATTGTCAAAGCATTTAATATATTCATTGCTATCGGGATGTTAAGAGCATTCCATGGAATATAACTAAAAGTGTTTCTGAAGTGAATTACCTACCCCACCTTTAAGAAGTGTGACACATATTCGCAAAAAAAGTTATTCAAACACACATTTCAACAGATAACATATACTGTATGTCTGACTTCCAAGGTAGCATTGTATACAAATGCTGAGGTAGATGAAAGAAGAACCAGAGAAGTGAAGGGAAACATTAGACATATAGGGGTTCAACAGGTAGAGATTAAACTCTGTGTACCTCTGCTGATGGCTTTCCTTTTGTAGAAGAGGTCGTAGATGTATCTACTCCGCTGATGATGCAGCCTGAAAATCGGCCAAAGCGACTCTACCTTTCGCTTCCCCTCGTGAGGCTCTGTTTCAGCTGGGACACAGAAGAAAACACAGAGAAGTTAGCTTTGGTTGTAAAATAGGTACAACTGATTGGGTTGTAAAGCTCCTCTTTGGGCTCAGTGTGAATAGTACATTTAATTTAGCTGATGCTTCGGTCTTATTTACAACTCTATACAGTAAATATAGATTTATTTTTGTTTGAGCCATGTGGCCTTCAGTTTTCAATTAGTTGGTTGTTCTTTCATTATCCAGCTGGCATGAACTTTGTTAAAGTCAGTACTTACTTAGTACTTTCTGATCTTGACCATCGTCCATCATGGGACTTCTCTCTAAGGAAAATGTATGACATTTTTTGACACCACCCGGGTCGATGTAATATACGCGATACTTGTATGGTGGCTTGGTGACATAAATGACAGGGAATAAAAATCCCTTTCAATAATAAATACTGAACAATTGCATCTGATTTAACTGCAACCACTTCCAGAGCAGCTAGTCGATTGATCAACACGTTTCCTTCAATCGTGTTACACAGCTTGTATCTATTACATTACATTACATGTTAGACTCTTTTATCCAAAGTGACTTACATACTCAATACTGTGGACAATCCCCACAGGAGCAATTTGGGGTGAAGTGTCTCAGGGACACAACGACATGCTGACTGCAGTGGGGTTTGAACCTGTGCTCCACTGATCCGAACACCAACGCACTAAATACAAATAGGATTTGTATTTTGGAAATGATTTCTCTTTTCTTTTTTATATTATATTTGTTATTATATCATAACTTAGTACTTTTTTCTTAACATAGGTAACATTAAGCTGTCTCTCTTTCCTAATGTAACGATGCAAATTTCCCCTCTGTGGGACTAATAAAGGTATTCTGATTCTGATAACCCACTGCGCCACACACCTCCCATATTGAAAATGTGACCAGCAGCATTGACCATGGATAGATTCATTAAAACATTAAACTAAATGCATATCTCTTAAAGACAATGAGAACTAAAGGCTCGTATTACTATAACTTTTGAAAGAACATCTCATAACATTCATCTGTTTGCAACTTATATCAATATTCCAATTACTATTCTGCACTATTTCTATTATATTCTTATTTTATTTACTTACACTAGGATCTGTTTTATTGTTGTTGTTGCACTGTTGGACGAGCCTGTGACCTAAGACACTCGTTGTCATAACTACACTGTAACTAAATGACAATAAAAGCCTTGACACCTTGAAACATAGCAGCTAGTCGTTTGATGAACGTTAGATGGTCAACACAAGTTTCCTCCAATCGTGTTAAACAGCTTGTGTATCTATTACAAATGTCACCAGCATCGACCATGGATGGATTCATTATAACATCTAAAAACTAAATGCAGATCTCTTAAAGACAGTGAGAATAAATAAATGTTGATATTAGCTGCGTGTTTTAGCTTTAGCTTCGCGGCTACATGTTGTTCGGACCGTTGGTACTTTCCCTTCTTGTAACGGCTCACCTTCTCTCATTTTCTGATCCAGCTCGTCCAACGTGGGCTCGATGAGCTCCCAGCCGTCCGGAGGAGGCTTCCGACTTCTCTTTACTTTGGGCATTTTGCTCTGTTTTGTAGAAATATAAAAGAACAAAAGACTCTCCGTGTTTTCGTTTTTAATTTTGCCTAACACTCGTCTCAGGCGCCAATAATTTACGTCACGCGGGGGTCCATTTCAACGTCTCGTCCCTCTAATGACGTCACCGCTCCAAATGTAGATAATTTATTAATCAGCGTTTAACAATTTATTTTTATCTTATGATATAGTAACTCACCATTCACCTTTAATTAAACACGTATTAATGTCAGTTTACACATATTCGTTTATATTTAACCAACGTAGGTTTCTTTCTATCGTTACTGGTTTATTGCATCACATGAGAACACTAACAGAATGCCTGACCAAAAATAACATAGCTTTGTTTCTAGTATTTTAATACTCACATAATTAAGTCAAAGAACTAAAGAATATACCAAGATAATCACATTGTCTGGTTTAAAGCAGCAACTCCTTGATTAAATGTGAGGTAAAATCCATTTATAATAGATTTGTTAAAAGGCAAATACTTGGACTACTCAGAGTATTTCTATACTCATCCCTGCTGTGGAGCAGCTGTCAGTTTGTTCTTCTGTTTTGACACTTGTGTACTGTACTGTGTACTGTTAGTATTAAGTTGTTAAGGAGTTCTTAACGAAGGATTTGTTCTTCAAAATGCCCAAAGGAGGTAAGAATTAACCTAAAACATGCTTACATTGTGTTGACATGAGTTCTGTACATCTCCTAACCTGCTGTCAAGCCTCCCAAATAACAGGCAATAATCCAGGCATCAAATTAGACAAATCTGTATTTGGGCTGGTATTTTTATATTAAGAAAGCTCTGACAGCATTTTTATTTGTACCTTTATGGACACCTGTCTGGTCACAGATCCACCCATGTTTGCACTGTATATGCAAATCAGTTTGTGGTGTCATTTTCTATCTTGGTTTATTGTTGCAGGTAGGAAAGGTGGCCACAAGGGTCGCATGCGGACCTACACGAGCCCCGATGAGATAGACGCGCAGATGAAAGCAGAGAAGGAGAGGAAGAAGGTCGGGGTTCACCCATGGGTTCACCCAAAGACTCTCAATACATGTCCTATTTTTTAATAAAGCATTGGTCAAGGATGCTACACTTTCCAAAATGATATTTCATATTTAAATTTGGAAAGTTCACTTAACTAACTAAGTGGTCGGTTTTATTGACAGCTTATTCAGAATGCTGCAACCAGAGTATTAATTAAACCAAAAGTTTTTAACACATCACCCGTTTTTTTATTTATCTTGTGTGCCAGTTAAATAATTATTGATTTATACAAAATACAGCGAGATTAATGAATAAATAAAAAAGAACAATGATGCGTATGGTAAACGGGTAAAATGAAATGTTTAGTATCATTATTATTATTTCCTTTTTAAATAATAATTATAATCATAACCTAATATCTTATTACTTTTTTATTGTAATGCCTTTTTATGTTCCTATCTTAAGCCTATATGTTTTGGTCACATGATATTTGCGTCTGTACTTACTTCTGCTTTTTTGTATTGAAGCACATTGAGTCACCTTTACATTACATTACATGTGACTTGTTAGACTCTTTTATCTAAAGCGACTTACATACTCAATACTGTGGGCAATCCCCACAGGACCAATTTGGGGTGAAGTGTCTTGCCCAGGGACACAACGACATGCTGACTGCAGTGGGGTTTGAACCTGTTCGAACCCCTGATCCCAACACCAACGCACAACCCACTGCACCACACGTCTCCCATACAGTCTATGGTCTACACATGTCGTATGAAATGTGCTTTATAAACAAACTTGACTTTTCTAACATGTCTGCCCCCCTGAGACTCTCACTAGCACTCCAGCCATAAGAGAGGAACTGATTTGTGAAAGCTGCTGCTGTGTTTGAATGGAGTAAAACCCTGCATGCATTGATATTCTCTGTTGTGTTTGACCTGATGCTTTGGTTTGATAACGTTCTCCTGTTTGTGGTCTCCTCATTTTTGTGTTAAAGCAAGAGCAGGAAGCAGAAGCAGCGGGGGGTGTAGCTCCGAATGACCTGACAGAGGAGAAGCTAGGATCAGGATCAGAAGACAGCGATGACGAAAACTCAGATGTATGTATGATAACTATGAGTAATTTATGGGATCCTGTGAAGCACCTTGTAACATTTATATCTGCATGGCAGTGTCGTATAAACGTGGTCATGTAGTCAGTTCATTGTTTGCTGTGTTCAAAGCATTCTCTCCTTACTGTGTGCTGTTGTCATGTGTTTGCAGAGGAGGAGAGCGGGTGTGGAGGGCCTGATAGAGATTGAGAACCCCAACAGAGTGGCTCAGAAGTCCAAGAAGGTGACGCAGATCGAGATGGACGAGCCTAAGCAGTTATCGAGGAGAGAGAGGTGTGTGTTCGGTGCCCCTCATTGTATCAGTGCTAAATTAAAAGTTCATTTTTTAACATAACGTGAAAACACCTTCCTTAACGGACAGTTCAGCCAAAACCAATAACACACGTATATTTCCTTTTACTTGTAGTAGTTTATTTATCAACATAGATTGTTTTGGTGTTGTTTGCAGGGTTAGAGAATTGACTGTAGAGAAACCTACCTTATCGAACTAGATGGCACTCTTTGTGGTGCTCAAAGCGACAAAAAAATGCTTTTGAAAACTCCACATCAATGTCTTCTTTCTAGAAATCAGGCCCTGTTGTTAGCAGTTTCATGTAGGAACTGTTTTCATTCTACTGTATAAGTGGGCAGAAGAAAGCATCTCTCTACTCATGGACTAGCAGGGGTGTCAAACTCAAATACACAGTGGGCCAAAATTCAAAAATGGGTACTAGTCGAGGGCCGGACTGGTTCAATGTTTATTGCAAAACTTATTGAAATGAACTTATTGCACATATTAAACCTGGAACTAACAAAGCTTAAATTATTGCCTATAAAAACAACATTAAACATTAAATAATCAGTTGCATTCATTTCTTATGGCTCTATCTGCAGCTTTTCCAGAGTCATTTCTTATGATTACATTTTCCCACAGGCCAACAACAGCTTCAACAAAACTATTTCCCTCAAAGAAAAAACCAAACATGCCCTGTTGTCGTGAGAGAAAAAGTGCAGAAGGAAACATCCATTAAACTCAGTGTGCTGCTCTGTGATGCTAGTTCAGATACTTGGCATCTCATCTTGGGTGCAAGTTCATCAATGTTTGGGCTCAGGCTCTGAGCTGAGGAGACCCTCAGGATGGAGTGAAGGTGTGAGAGCAATATACCGGCGGGCCAGATCTAATAGTAATTAGAAATTATCCTGCGGGCCGAAATTAATCACCAAATGTACTGTTATCCGAGAAAATAACACACTAACATGGAAAAGCAGTTTTAGTTATTATGAGCGCCAACAATTAGGAACAAACCTGCCTACAATCAATGCACGTCCGCCGAAAAACACTTCCTATTTTTAATTCCCGACTAAAAAACGCACCTTAGATTTTGCCGCTGCTTTTAAATTGAGCTGCAACACTCAACTACAAGTATGACCTTCTTTAAGTCATTCGTATTACTGTACCTGAGACATAGTGGTTCTATCTTACTTTATCTTATTTCATTACCATTGCCTTATTATGACCTCGGTTTGTTAAAATGCTTTTTCATATAATATATTCATGGCTGTATTTGTTCTTAAATGTCCTTCTTGCTGTTTAAATTCTGTGAAAGCAGGTTTTGAAATGCCAACGTGTGAGGAGTGCTACGCTATAATCATTGCTCTGCTTCGGGCCGGACTTGGGCCGACACCAGGCTTTGAGTTTGACACACCCATGTGTACTAACTGGTTTCAGGTGGAACAAATATCTGCACCACATTGGCAAGCAGCTGCTAACCCTAAAGGCGAGACACAGAGCTGCTAAAACAAACGACAGTACAGGTATGATGGATAGTTCCATCACACCTGATCCATTTTAAGGGGGAGGAGCATGGCCTGAGGAGGAGGGAGGGAGGTAGGAAGAGGAGCTGTCAAGGCTAGGGCAAAACTCGAAAAGTTCATCGAGAGTTGGGTTATTTTCATTGGGAAACCATGGGCGCTGGGATTCGTTCCGTTTCGGGTCTGTTGCGATATATATGTAGTTACAACCGACACATAGTTCACACGTGTATGGCCTAGACAAATAACAACAACAAGGTATTTATATTAGCCACTATATAAACGAAGTCCCAATCACGGTGTGCTTCAAACACAACTCCCCAAGCCGTGATTTGATCGCTTAAATGTTCTTCTTAATTTGATTGGCAAGTTGAGACGCTGCAGTTTTACTTCTTTCATAAATGAACCACATTTAAGAATGAGACAAAAGTGGAAATCTGGTTGGCAAGACCAGCCTCTTATAAATTAAGTCAAATCATTCTACCTAGTTCAGCACTTTACGGGTCAACACATACACAAACAGAACGCCGAAAAACACCACCACAATACCTAGTTACAATGCTGGTGTATGTAGCGGGGAAAGGAGCTTCTTAGTGTCCACACTTTTCTATGTCCTTTTGTCCAACAAATATGCGCTGCTGTCAACCACACACCTCTTTCTCCGCATCGCTTTCCAAAAAGTACAACAACCGACAAGTCAAACTAAAGTGTGTGTGTCTGCAAGGGTATCTGCTGACTGAGCAGCTCTCGCCGCGCAGGCGTCAATGACATAATGCCAAATGATTTGGAGCTCGGTTCTACACACACTGGATGCGTGCGCGATGAGGAATGATGTCATTGAGGAGGATCCTGGCTAAGGTATGATGAAGGTGCATTTCTTCAGTCTGTGTCAGGCAAGGCACAGGAGCAGCACGGAAGAGCGCATGTTAAGGGTGCTCAATTATCGGTATTTGAATCGCAATACGATTTTCGGGCTTGCAACGTTACGAAAACATCCTCGAAATAAAACAATTATTTTTTTTTTTTATTTAAAAAAAAGAAAATGTTTAATTGTTTTCCTCAGTTGAATTTATACTTAAAGTTCAGGGTATCAACCTGTTAATGTAAAAAAGCTGTAAACAAAACTGGATAATCGTTTTTAATAATGGATATTAATTATTGACCAAATAATGCGAGGATTATGATATTTGCCATAT